CATGCCTACCCTGCTGGGAGCAGATGGAGGAGGCTGGAGAGGCCACCCTGGGGAGAGGGAGTCTGAGCTTTCCTCCTTAGGGTGAGGGGGAGCCATGGTTCAGAGCAAAGGAGTGACATGGTCAGGATGTCACCACACACGGCAGTGTGGTGGGTGGAACTGACTAGAGGGACAGCCGTCATTTAGGGTGGAGAGGATAAAGGTGGTGTGGTCCATTATCGGAACTGGGACAGGGGAAGACAGATGGGAATGGCCCCCCAGGGCTGCTGGAAGAGTGGCTGTGGGGACTGGCTGTAGGGAATGGGATGGGAGGATGGGAGTCAGAGGCAAGGGGAGGTCCACAGAGGGGAACAGCCATGTGGGGGAATATGGTCAAGGTGGCAGCCACTCCCCCACCATCTGGAGCCCACTGCCTGGCTCTGGCTCCTCCTGGGACCCCAGCAATTCCTTCCCTACAAGACAGGGCTGGGTGACCACAGGGACCCAGCCCTTCCTCCACCCACACTTGCTCCCAGCCTCAAAGACATCCCGAGTCGCAGGAGGCTTCCCTAGGGTGCTCCAGGCTGCAGTCCCCGGGAGGCCCAGCTTGGGCTGGAGATGAGCCTCAGACCACATCTCGGGAACACTTTCCTCCAACTCAGGCGGCAGCTGACACTAGCGTGGTCAGATGGCGACATCTAGAGGCAACTTCCACCTCACGCTGCCTCACTCACAGAACCCCCTAGCCAAAGGCTCCCCACTGGTGTTCCCATCATGCCACCCTCAGGATTTAGTAACCAAGACACCAGTCAGAGCTTGGAAGAGCTCCTCCACTCCTTCATGCCAAAGCCCAGTGCAGGGCTGGCAAGGCCCCTGGGACCCCAAGTGAACCGTGGACACTCTCCACTCCCACAGGCCCAGGAGTATGCTGGCTGGTTGACAACCTTCCCCTCCCCATTCCTGCACTGCTTCATTTCAGAGGGATTCTAGCAGCTCAGCCAACTCTCCGCTCATACAGCAATGTCCTTACCTCCACCTCACCATCCAGGACCATCCTGTGTCCAGCGTCCTGAGTGAGAACACAGAATGGCCCTCACCTTTCTGTAGTGTTCCCCCTTTTTTGTTTTTGTTTGTTTTGTCTTGTTTTGTTTTGGAGACAGGAATTCATTCTGTCACCCAAGCTGGAGTGCAGTGGTGCAGTGGTGCGATCATCTCTCATTGCAGCCTTGACCTCCTGGGCTCAAGTGATCCTCACACTTCAGCCTCCCAAGTAGCTGGGATCACAGGCATGCACAACTACACCTGGCTATGTAGTGTTCTTTTATTGACAAATTGTTCATTTCCATCCATCCACACGCAAGGCCCCTCTGGTACTGGACACTCCTCACCAACTTTCCTTGCTTTTCACAGCCATGCAGCCGCTCACTGTTTGCCTCCTTCTCTCTCACCTGCTCCTCCCTTAATTTTCTATCTACCACTCCATCAGTCCTCCCATCCTTCCTCACTCATTCCACAGGCAGCCTGTGCATCCCCAGGGCAGGACAGGGGACCAGGACTGCAGCCACAGGGATGGGGATGAGGAGGAGGCAAACGAGAAAACAAGGACAAATACCCAAAAGCCCTAGTATCAACACGCAGGGAAAGTAGGGGATTGAGACAGGACTTTCTGCTTTGCCCCTTCCCTACCTCTATGCTGATGAAGAGCCAGCCATGCCCCCAGCCCTTCCTGAGGCCACCACATGACCTTGCTTATTTTCTCATTCCAGGAGGTCACCTGCAGGGCTCCTCCCACCCAGCCACATTGCCTAGTCCCCCTGCCTCCATAGTGCCCCTGCAGCCCCATCCGGGGCCACTCCTGTGCTTCACTCTATTTGTTCCCTTTCTTGGACTAGCCCGTCCCGGTCCCCATGGTGGCCTCTCAGCCTCTATCAGGATGAGGTGACCCCTGGACAGCTCCACATGCCTGGCCCTGGGGCACACAAGTTTGTGCAGGGTGGACAGAGCAGTAGCTCATGGCAGGCATTCCTTCTGTTCATCTGTTGCAGAGAAAATGGGGTGAGGCGTGGGACGGCTTCCCAGAATCCCAGAAAGGCAGGAGGAGTTGAGATCTGAGACACAGTAGGCTTCGGAGACTCCCCCTACAGACCACTCTCCCAGGGGCTAGGTTAATGGGGCTGCTTTGGGAAGCCAGGGCAGGTGGATCACCTGAGGTCAGGAGTTCCAGACCAGCCTGGCCAACATGGTGAAACCCCATCTCTACTAAAATACAAAAATTAGCTGGGTGTGGTGGCATGTGCCTGTAGTCCCAGCTACTCGGGAGGCTGAGGCACAAGAATCACTTGAACCCAGGAGGTAGAAGTTGCAGTGAGCCAAGATCATGTCACTGCACTCCAGCCTGGGTGACAGAGTGAGACTCCATCTCAAAAAAAGAAAAAATGAAAAAAAAAAAAGAAAGAAAGAACTGGGGCTGGACACGGTGGCTCACACCTGTAATCCCAGCACTTTGAGAGCCTGAGGCAGGAGGATCACTTGAGGCCAGGAGTTCGAGGCTGCAGTGAGCCATGGCTGCACCACTGCACTCCAGCCTGGGCAACAGAGCAAGACCCTGCTTAAAAAAAAAAAAAATGTCAGAACTGGAGCCCAGGCCTCTTCAGCCCCACTCCCCTACTCCACCTTCCCTCCCACTTCCTGCCTTGCTCCTCCCAGCTAGGTGATTTTCCAGATCAAGGCTGCTTGCTGGTAGAGAAAGTCAGGGGCCAATGGAGCAAAGACATTCAGACCCACACACGTCAGTAAAGGTTCATTCATCCCAGAGAGCTGGTTGGAGCACTGGTCACCAACAATTCAGAGGATCACTAAGCTGGGGACCATTTAAGGGCATTTAGTAGCATCAAGTAAAACGGAAACAGAAACTCTAGAGATGGGCTAGGCATGGAGGCTCACACCTGGAATCCTAGCACTTTGGGAGGCCGAGGCAAGAGGGTCACTTGAGGCCAAGAGTTTGAGACCAGCCTAGATGACAGGGCAAAACCCCATCTCTACAAAATACAAAAAAAAAAAATTAGCTGGGCATGGTGGCACACACTTGTAGTTTCAGCTACTCTGGAGGCTGAGGTGGGAGGCTGGTTTGAGCCCAGGAGGCAGAGGTTGCAGTAGGAAGATACCATGCCATTGCACTCCAGCCTGGGTGACAGAGCCAGACTCTGTCTCAAAACACAAATGAACAAACAAGTAAACAAAACCTATAGAGATGAAAGGTGAAAAATAAGTCTATAAATCTAATTCCTTCCCAGTCTATTTAAAGAGCTCAAACAGCTCAATTTTAAAATTTTTAATTCTGGCCAGGTGCGGTGGCTCACACCTGTAATCCCAGCACTTTGGGAGGCCGAGGTGGGCAAATCACCTGAGGTCAGGAGTTTGAGACCAGCCTGACTAACATGGAGAAACCCCATCTCTACTAAAAATGCGTGGTGGCGCATACCTGTAATCCCAGCTACTTAGGAGGCTGAGGCAGGAGAATCACTTGAACCTAGGAGGCAGAGGTTGTGGTGAGCTGAGATCGTGCCACTGCACTCCAGCCTGAGCAACAAGAGCAAAATTCCATCTCAAAAAAAAAAAAAAAATTAATTCTCCCTGTGTTCACTTTATCATGTTCCAAAACGATGGGACATTGGCATGTGTATAAGTTAAATATATGTAGCTTTACTCGTAAGAGCCAACGCATTATCAGAGTCCACAGAGCTATTTTATTTTATTATAATAATAATAATTACTATTATTATTATTGAGACTGAGTCTCACTCTGTTGCCCAGGCTGGAGTGTAGTGGCATCATTTTGGCTCACTACAACCTCCGCCTCCCAGGTTCAGGCAATTATCCTGCCTCAGCCTCTCAAGTAGCTGGAATTACAGGTGTGTACCACCATGCCCATTTAATTTTCGTGTTTTTAGCAGAGACAGGGTTTCACCATGTTATCCAGGCTGCTTTCGAACTCCTGACCTCAGGTGATCTGCCCACCTTGGCTTCTCAAAGTGCTGGGATTACAAGCATGAGCCACAAGGCCCAGCCTTATTTTATTACTATTATTTTTGAGACAAGGTCTCACTTGGCCGCACAGGCTGAAGTGGAGTGGTACAATCATGGCTTACTGAAGACTCCACCTCCGAGGCTCAAGCAACCCTCCCATCTCAGCCCCCTAAGTAGCAGCTGGGACTAAAGGAACACACCACCTTGCCTGGCTAATTTTTATTTTTATTTTTGTAGAGATGGAGGGGTCTCACTATGTTGCCCGGGCTGGTCTCAAACTCCTGGGCTCAAGCAATCCTCCAACCTTGGCCTCCCAAAGTGCTGGGATTACAGGTGTGAGCCACCACACTCTGCCCACAGAACTATGTTATCAGCAATAATCCCCAAAAAGCCTTCTAGCTTCCTTTCAGGACCACCAACCTCTCCTCCCAGCCCCACCCATTCCAGGCCAAAATTGTGCAAAAAACTACATAATTATCCCTTTCTGAAAGCCCACTATTGGGACTTTGGACTTGGTTCAAATCCTGGCCCTACCACTGTGTCGTGGGTGTTTTTCAACCTCTGGGCATCAATTTGATCAAGCTGAAAAGGAGGGTTGGCTGGACATGATGGCATGAGCCACCGCACCCTTCCACTTCTGTCCACTTCTCTCTTCCAGGGGGTGGGGTAATGTGCCAAGTTGGTTTTAATGTCTCATGTTAAATAGTATGAAATTCTGGCAGGCTTTGGCCCTGAGTGTGTGGAGTCCCTCACGACAAAAGCCTTCACTTCTTTTCAGGTCTCCACACAGATGGTTAACGCTAAACAATAATTTCCTGGGCAATAGCCACCAAAACTTTGCAGAGCAGCATACTTCTCTTTTGGGTGGACTCTTTGAACAGCCTAAAATCTTCCATGGTCAGATAAAAGTGGTGAAACAAAGGTTGGCCTAATCTACGAACCTAAGGACTGAAAAAAAAAATGAGGATTCAAACCAAAAGAAATCAAATTTCTTTTTTTTCTTACACTTACAAGTTTTAATTAAATATCTCTAATGGTTAGAAAATCAGTGTCAAATACGAACATTGGTATACAGCTTAAAATACAAATGTCAGTAATTGTTAAAGAACATGATTAATAATTGTTCTAAGTAAATGTTAAATCATTATTTCCCAGGAGGCAAGTTAAGCGTCAGGTGCCTGAGGGATAAGGGACAGGGCTTCAGGCTCGGATAGCTGCACGGCTGTCCCAATGAGCTTTCCACTCAGATGGTGCCAGGGGCAGCTCTCATCACAGGCTGGCTCACTGGTCTTTATCCCCAGCTCCAAGGCAACACCAGGACTTTTTCTGTCACAAGAGTCACATTTCAGAGTCAAATGATTCACTTTAAGATGAAAATTGCACAGCTCACTTCCAGAATATTCTAGTTTAACCTGGGAAGTTAAGACTTCCTAAAGGCTGAAGATAGGCCACTAGGGGCTGATGGAAAAGAGTCAAGCCAGAGTCATTCTAAACACATTTTTGTTTTGTTCTGTATAATTAATTATACTGTATCTTTTTTAAGTAACTCAAGTTCAAACTCTCCATATTTCACTTATGTTTAAAAGATGCCAATTTGATTGTGTCTAAACTGAACTTTACCCAGTGGGCTGAATACTAAAGACCTTTTAGGTCAAAGGTACTTCTGGGAAAAAGATGTTTATATATTAATATACCTCAAAGTTTGCATTTTCATTATAATAAATTAGCCTTAATGTTAACAAATAACATCTCAGAAAGTTGAATCTAAGTAACCTGATCTACCATGCTAATTTGACTTTGTTTTTTGTTTTTGTTTTTTTTGAGGCGGAGTTTCGCTCATGTTGCCCAGGCTGGAGTGCAGTGGCACGATCTCGGCTCACTGCAACCTCTGCCTCCTGGGTTCAAGCGATTCTCCTGCCTCAGCCTCCCAAGTAGCTGGGATTACAGGCAAGCGCCACCATGCCCGGCTAATTTTTGTATTTTTAGTAGAGACAGGGTTTCACCATGTTGGTCAGGCAGGTCTCAAACTCCTGACTTCAGATGATCCACCCACTTCAGCCTCCCAAAGTGCTGGGATTACAGGTGTGAGCCACCATGCACAGCCAACTTTTTTTTTTTTTTAAATTCAAACTTTTTTTTAGACACAGTCTACTCTGTCACCCAGTCTGGAGTGCAAACGCATGATCGCAGCTTACTCCGGCCTAGACCTCTTGGGCTCAAGAGATCCTCTCATTTCAGCCTCCCAAGTAGCTGAGACTACAAGCATGTGCTACACCTGGCTTTTTTTTTTTTTTTTTTTTTGTAGAGGCAAGATCTATGTTGCCCAGGCTGGTCTCATACTGTGCTCAAGCGAGAATTCTGTCTTGGACTCCCAAAGTGCTGGGATTACAGGTGTGACCCACCATGCACAGCCACAAATTTGAATTTAGAATACTATCTTATCTATCCATTTTGACCAAGCCCCAGAATCAACAGAGATACAGTTATATATTTTTTAAAAATCTGGTGAGGCGTGGTGGCTCATGCCTCTAACGCTAGCACTTTGGGAAGCTGAGGTGGGAGGATTACTTGAGCTCAGGAGTTCGCAGCCTGGCCAACATGGCGAAACTCTGTCTCTACTAAAAATACAAAAAATTAGCGGTGTGTGGTGGTGCATGCCTGTAATCCCAGCTACTTGGTAGCAGAAGCACAAGACTCACTTCAACCTGGGAGGCAGACGTTGCAGTGAGCTGAGATTGTGCCACTGCACTTCAGCCTGGGCGACTGAGTGAGACTGTCTCAAAAAAAGAAAGAAAGAAAATAAATCTAAATTATGCCAATAGTATCAAACTTTCTTACCTAAAATCATATACAATTTTAAGCACCAAAGCATAGTTTCTTCAAAAGTTACATCCAAAATATTAAATGTTCAATTTTATTTTTCAGTTCATTTTGAGTCTCAATACTGAAATCTCTGTATAAAAGCAATAATAAATGCTTTGAAAGACCTGACAAGTACCACTAACCTCCTCTCAAATCCCAGTGTCCTGAGGAAGTAGCCCATGTGCTTCAAGAAGTCCAAGGACAGCAGGATAGTGGTCAGGGAGACAGGAGTTTAATCAGGAGGTGCTCCCCAGAATGTTCATGGAAAGAACTGATGATTCACAATGGAAAAAAAGCAAATGATAAATAAGCCTTTCTTCTTTCTCAATATTACTAATTAGAAAGCAGGAAAATCTATTAGGCAGAGAAACACCAGATATGCCTGGAGACACAGGTAAGGAGTCTGTGTTCTCTCAGCTGTCTCACAAGTTAATGAATCAGATACATTTATGGCCCATGCTAGGCTCCAAAGTAAGATTCAGGTACTCTGTATGCCAGTAAAGGCTTCAAGGGTACTCCAGGGTTTAGCCGGTATAAAGAATAAAGAACAAAGAAAATGTCAGACAACCAGCCTGGGCAACATAGCAAGATCATGTTTTCACCAAAAAAAATATTTTTTAATTATCTGGGCCTGGTGGTTCATGCTGTAGACCCAGCTACTTGGGAGGCTAAGAGGGGAGGGAACATTGGAGTCCAGGAGTTTGACAGCAGTGAGTTATAATGATGCCACTGCACTCCAGCCTGGGCGACAAAGCAAGACCTTGTCTCAAAAAACAACAAAAAGTGAACGTCAGATAGAATCCTCAATTTTAACAACAAACCCTTATGCTAGCAGAATGGAAGTGATTTACATTTTATTTTTAAGAACTAGGAGATAGGCTGGGTGTGGTGGCTCATGCCTATAAACCCAGCACTTTGGGAGGCCGAGGTGGGCAGATTGCTTGAGTCTAGGAGTATGAGACCAGTCTGGACAACACGACAAAACCCTGTCTCTACAAAAATTTTAAAAATTAGCCAGGCATAGTGGTGCATAGTCCCAGCTCCTCGGGAGGTTGAGGCAAGAGGATTGTTTGAGCCTCAGCTGCAGAGGTTGCAGTGAGCCAAGATCATGACATTGCACTCCAGTCTGGTGACAGGGAGACCCTGTCAAGAAGGAAGGAAGGAAGGAAGGAAAGAAATACAGAGAGAGAGAGAGAGAGAGGGGAGAGAGAGAGAGAGAGAGAGGAAGGAAGGACTAAGAGATAAGATGGATTTTTTTTTTTTTTTTGAGACAGAGTTTCGCTCTTGTTGCCCAGGCTGGAGTGCAATGGTGTGATCTCAGCTCACCACAACCTCTACCTCCCAGGTTCAAGTGATTTTCCTGCCTCAGCCTCCCGAGTAGCTGGGATTACAGGCATGCACCACCACACCTGGCTAATTTTGTATTTTTAATAGAGATGGGGTTTCTCCATGTTGGTCAGGCTGGTATGGAATTCCTGACCTCAGGTCATCCATCCGCCTCAGCCTCCCAAAGTGCTGGTATTACAGGCGTGACCCACCGCACCCGGCCAAGAAGGAATATTAATGGTTTCAGAATAAAAGGATCAAGGCTTAAATATTCAAAAGAGAATTTCTTAGATGAAAACACATGACTAAACAGTTGCACTGAAAAATGTACGGAGAAACACCACCAAATTAGAAGTATCCCAGCATTTGACCGAATGTCAGCTGGGACGTAGACAAAAAACAGGAAGCCAGACCTAGCTATTTGCTTTTCTTTTCAGTGGGTGGCATAAAGGGGTAAGTTGAGAAAAGGGATCAACAAATGTAGTTCAACTTAATTGAAGAATTCTGCCTGATGTAGTAGAAGCAAATAAAATTGTTGGTTTTGTGGGATTATATTTGTTCCCATTTAGGGACATATTTCCTGTTGTTTAAATCCCATAGCAACTCATGAGATGAAATTCATCTCCAAAAACGTATCCACATGACGAATTTCCAAGTAAATACAAAGAGTCTACAGCCCACAGAAACCATTACAAATTATTTTTTATTTTTGCCCCAACTCCTATACTAAATATGGTCTAAAGTTGAGGACTAGCAATGGTGGTTTATCCCACAGTCTTGGGGCAAGTGTCCCATCTGATAAGTCTCACTTCTCCCTCCTCCCCACCACCTCTCAGGAAAGGATTCAGAGAACCTTGGTTAGAAACTGTTGTCCTTAAGCCTTTTGTGTTTTCACCTCTCCAGATAGAGACTGAATCTTAAGTCCACCATCTGCTAAATAAACCTGTCCTGTCTAAACATCTATCACCACAACTACCATATGCAATCGCATTTTCTCCTTTCCTGCAGCCATAGGCAGCAGGAACATGTGAAAAATTCTTTCAGACAGTATTTTGTAGTTGGCAGGTGCAGGGTAAATGAGGGATTCAGCATAGCAGAGGTAGAAGGATTGTGTGGAATTGACAGAAGAATATTTGAGAGGTATAATCAGAAAGCTTTAAATGCTGTGAATCAACCCCCAAAGGCTCAGCCCAGGAGGAAATTTTACTAATGCAGGAAAGGTCAGGAGTTAAGGCATAGACTAGTTACCTACTAGCATGGCTCAAAGTTTCTGGAATGGGACTCAGTAGAGGGAACCAAAAGCTGCAACAGTAAATTCAGCTGGTCCAGAGGCATAGATCCTATCAGCTGAAAATCAAAACAAGTCATTCCAAGCATGCTTACAGTAGGCGTGTTTGCAAGCTTAAGGATTCAGTTTTAAAATAAACGAAAACAGAGCTAGAATGTAGTATTACAAAATTTCTCATAACCATAATCACACACAAAAAAGTTAGGATATTGCATAGAAAAGTGTCCTGTAGTATGCTTTGTAAACCTAGGCCTTAGTAATTTAAATAAAAGACAAACAAATAAAATATCTCTTCATAATCTAGAAGTCCATGATTGTGAATTCAGGAGAATTATTGAATTTGCAGATTTTTGTGGCAAGACCTCACAAGATCCTGAAGTTCTTTATTCTCAGAATCATGATTAAATTTACCCTTTGAAGGCTCAAGGCTGACAGTTTCACATCTTTATCAAACGACTTGGGTTACATGAGCCCAAACCAATTCTATAGACTTTATGCTCTGTCCTCTCTGCATATAAGACTTGATCAGACATACACGGACATGAAATCACTGCTATTTAACTGTTTTTTAAAGCTAGGCTGTTTGTTTCTTTGTTTCTTCCTCCTGTTAGTCTATTTAGCAAATTAAACCTGCCTGCGCTTTTAATAGTAAGGTTTGGATAGCTAGTTTAAGAGTAAGTGAAACGTTTTAGAAGAGCATTTATGTTAACCTTGACAATAGGATGGGAGATTCTTAACCCCCCTTGTAATATGCACCGATTGATTCTGAGTTAAAATATACCACAGTGACAGTGATATCATCCCTGTACATCCTCGCCAAGTCCTCTGGCAATGTCAGCATCGCCGCCAGCCGCTCTGCCTCCATCTCCCCATACTCATTGTTCCCGATTGCATGTCTGATCAGCCGCGTGGCTGCATTTTGGTCAGCCTCGTGGAGCCCGCTGGCTTTCCTCTGCAGCAGCAGGCTCTGCATGAGCCCCAAGTTGGTGGGTCTCTGGGCCAGGTCTGTCTTGTGCTGATCTGCCTCAGTCAGGTGCCCCACTACCAGCCTTACCACGTCCTCATTGCTCAGCATGTCCCACAGGCCATCTGAGGCCAGCACAAGGAACTTATCCTGGGGCCTCAGCCTGTGGTATGTGACCTCAGGCTCAGCAGTCAGGTAGGGTGGAGTGTAGTAGTGTGGGGGTGTGAACTGGTAAATGTTGAGGGCCTCAGTATTGAAGCCCCTCTCCAGAACGCTGCGCTGCAACTCTTTACTCCACTTCAGCTGAACATCCCCAAAGGCCCTGCAGGGGATGAGGACACCCAGCAGCCTGTCCTCCATGATGATTGTCCTGTCCTCTGACTCAGGGTGCTCCCTCTTTAGCCGGGACAGCTCGGCCTGGTTCCAGGCATTGTGGTCACGGGTAAGGGGCAGACAAGACCACATGCCATTGTCCTCCTGGACACCAAGGATGGCTCGGCAGTCACCAGCATTTGCCACGTGCAAGTGAATTCCATCAACATGGGCCATGCAAGCTGTTGCCCCAGAGAAAGCAACCTGGAGTGACAGGTTCCTTGTCACCTCATCTTCCAGAGGGGCCTGGATTTCCAGCGAGATGTCAGAATCCAGTCTCTGGAAGGAGTACATTAATGCTTCTTCAATGCTTAGTCCCATTTCCGTATGCAAGTCAAGCAGTTCCTGCCAATAGACACGGAGGTGGTCAAGATGCACGGATGTGACATCCTTGTAGATACTGTCCCCTGGGTGCTTGAGCCAATGCAGGATGGGCAGCAAGGGTTTCATGCTTTCCATAGCTCCCTCCATGTGCTCCAGGGTCTGGTGGGACATCAGGGACACTGCCACATAGTAGAAGAGCCTCTCACTCACTGCTTGGGCACATGCATGACCGCCATGTCCATCGAAGATGCCAAACATTAGTCCATTGGTTTGCAGGCAGGAGGCTACACCTCGCCGGTCCTCCACTGGTGAATTGGCAGCCAGCTGATTGCTCTCAAACCGCAACACTGAATTTGGAACTCTACTTTCAAGGTCAAGAATCTTGTGGGCTGATTCGCCAGCTCGAAGCACTTCGTTTATCTGCTCAGGGCTGAGTTGCAAGTGAAAATCATCTTCCTCTGTTGATGTGTGTCTGTAGGCTTTGCACAGAGTGAAGCCACCACATGGGGAACTGTTTAGGGTGGGTGGCACCCGGGAAAAGAGCCTCCATTTTAATTTATTCCTATTTGAGACATACCTGGAGTATAAGCGTCTGCCCCCTTGCAGTGTGGCAATGCTGTTCCTTGTAGAATTTAAGATCCAGTAGGACACAGTACTTGACATTCTGAAACTATATCAGCAAATGTGTTCCTTCAGCAAAACAAGGATATTTTTAAACCTAAAAATTAAAAAGTTGAAGTTTCAAATTTAATTTCTTAAACATACTGACTTCTGAAAACATTTGCTAATATCCTGAACAAAAATGACTTAGAATAAACTATTTACAATACACTAAACTCACTCTCACCAGCAGACTATAAGTGTTCATTTAAATATCTGCTTCGGGGGCCGGGCGTGGTGGCTCATGCCTGTAATCCTAGCATTTTGGGAGGCCAAGGTGTGTGGATAGCTTGAGCCCAGGAGTTCGAGACTAGCCTGGGCAACATGGTGAAACTCTGTCTCTCCAAAAAAATTAAAAAAAAAAAAAAAAAATTGGTAGGCATGGTGGTATGCACCTATAGTCACAGCTACTTGGGAGGCTGAGGTAGGAGAATCATCTGAGCCTGGGAAGTTGAGGCTGCAGAAAGCAGTGATTGTGCCACTGCAGTCTAGCCTGGGCCTCTTGCTAGAGAAGGAGTGAGACCCTGTCTCGAAAAAAACAAAAACAAAAACAAACAAATAAATAAATAAATAATCTGCTTCGGGCATAGTGGCTCATACCTATAACCCCAACCACTCCAAAGGCTGAGGCGGGAGGATCACTTGAGCCTAGGAGTTCCGAGACCAGCCTGCGCAACAGAAGGGGACCTGGTTTCTACAAAAAATTTTCTTACAAATTAGCTGGGCATGGTGGCACACACCTATAGTCCCATTCACTTGGAAGGCTGAGGTGAGAGGATTGCTTAAGCCCTGGAGGCCAAGGCTGCAATGAGCGGTGCTCCTGCCACTGCACTCCAGCCTGGGCGACAGAGCAAGACCGTGTCTCAAAAAATAAATTATATATATATATATGTATTTTCCCACTAGTCTATAAACTCCATGACTCAAGCAACTATGGCTGCCTTACTCACCAACAGCTTTCCAGTGCCTGGACCTGTACCCAGCACACACTAAGTCCTCAAATACTGGCTAAATATGACATTTTCAGAGGCCCAATAGCACACTAGCTGTGATACTATCTTGTGTAGCATCAGACACACTGCTGATGAGGTAACACTCCAGTTATCTATTGGTGGAATGGGATTATTAGTCTTAGAAGGTTTTGTGAGAATTTAATAAAATATGACCCTTCTACTAAAAAAAAAAAAAAGTAGTTATTATTTTCATCATTAGGTATATACCCCTCTAGTCATTCTGCACTTTTTTTTTTTTTTTTTGAGATGGAGCCTGGCTCTGTGCCCAGGCTAGAGTGCAATGGTAAGATCATGGCTCACTGAAGCCTTGCCCTTCTGGCATCAAGGGATCCTCCTGCCTCAGCCTCCCAAGTAACTGGGACTACAGGCATGAGCCACTATGCCTAGCTAATAGACAGGGTCTCCCTGTGTTGTCCAGGCTGGTCTCAAACTCCTGGGCTCAAGCGATCTTCTGCCCTTGGCCTCCCAAAGTGCTGAGATTACAGGTGGGAGCTACCGCACCCTGTCATTCCGTACATATTTTTGTAGAGTTGTAACCACAACTTTGAATCTAGTTTTCCTGATAAGAGTATTTTTTCACACCTGATGGCTACATTTTGGCATAACGAATTGCAACTTACTTAACTATTCTCTACTGCTGGAGATTTAGAGGTTATTTCCACTACTTGCTCTTTATTAATATAAAATACCAAACTGGACTGGGCACAGTGGCTCATGCCTATAATCTCAGCATTTTGGGAGGCCAAGGTGAGAGGATCACTTGAGGCTAGGGAGTTTAAGACAACCCTGGGTGATACAGGAAGTGCCCCATCTCTACAAAAATTTTGAGATTAGCTGGGCATGGTGGTAGGTGCCTGTAGTCCCAGCTACTCACGAGGCTGAGGTGGGAGGATCGCTTGAGCCCAGGAGTTCAAGGCTGCAGTGAGCTATGATCACACTGCTGCACTCCAGCCTGGGCGACAGAGCCGGATCTGTCTCTAAAAACAACAACAACAACAAAACCCCACCAAACTGTACTGCCTTATGCAGTAACCTTTTCTCTATTTAGGTTTTATCCTAGTTATTTCCCAAACAAGGGGTCAGTAGGTCCAAGGGTGTAGACTCATTGCCAAACTGATTTCCAAAAGCTTCACATCTGCCTCCGCAAGGGGGTGACGAGTTTCCTAGTTCCTTCACTAGCCTCTGGTGGTACTTCTCCTTGGAATAAAATAAATAAAATAGAAAAAAAAAAAAAAAAAGAACAAAACCTTGACCCATTATAATGAGCTTTTCTGCGGTTTCATGTATGAATCCTGCCCTCAGGATCTCGAGATCGTTTGTCGGGATCTCAAGAGCTCCCAGGACTGAGGACCGTCCCCTCACTCCCCCACCCCTGCCAGCCCACCCCGCAGAAGTCGGGGCGGGGGCGGTCGGTCCGGGAGCAGAGGGCGCCTGACACTCTGGCCCTGCAGTCAAGGCAGACAGCGGTGCAGGGCAATCCACCGCACCCGGGACGCAAACCATTTTGCATCCTTAAAGAAAACAGACAGGTCCCAAGTTCAAATCTCTGACTACAGCCTCATCGCTAAGTGCACGGACTCCGGAGCCCACCAAAACCGATCTGCCTAGAACTCCGAGGGCCGTACCCCAGCTGGGTGCCCCCGGGCGACCCGCTTGGTGCCTCTGAGCCCCGGCTTGCCAGCCTGTAAAACAGGAGCGCGCAGTCGGGACACAGAGCTCCAAGGGGTGCTCGAAGGGCCAGAGCAGCTAGTGGGGTGCCTCGGTAGGTAGCCAAGGGTCCTCGGCGAGCCCGCGGGCCCACGTGGCGCGCGCACATGAGTGGGGTGACCGTGGTCGTAGGCCCAGCTGGTCCCTCTCTGCCGCGGGCCCGCCCCCTCACCTCAGCTCTCCGCCCAGTCACCTGAGCCGGTGCCGCAGACTGGGAGGGTCAGGCGCCGGCGAGGCCTGGCGAAGAAAGAGGTGTCCACATCCCCCGCTCGTTCCCTTCCCTACCTCGGACCCTCGCCCACTTTTCACCAGCTGGCGAGGCCACAGCCGCCTGCTCGGTCGGGTCAGTCCCGCGCCTGCGCACAGTGCCACAACTGCGGCCACCAGGTCCTCACCTCACCCAGGCAGTCCCTAGTCAGGACCCAGCTCCAGAAGGAAGCGCCCTCCCGCCAGCCCTGGTTGGCTCAATAGCGGAGGCGGGCCCTTGATGGACAGAGTTATTGCCCAATGGTTAAAGAGGGTGAGAGGCAGGCAGAAAGGCGGGACCCGGGAGGGGCCAACACCGCCTCTTACCGCTGCCTGGGTGCTGAAAGTGTTCGAGCGCGGGGCTACGGGACCAGGCAATCACGTGCCTGAGATCGCCAGCTACGTGGCCGATCTGCACACCCCGAACCCAGCGGCCTCCCCAATTCCTCACCGCTGTTAGAACACCCCACTGCTTCCTCTCCATTTCGGTGTCGACCACTCCAGAACCCTCTCCTAAGAGCCACACCCTGGTATCCAACCACCTGGACACCTGCCTCTGGAGGCCCCTAGGCGCCTCAAACATAACTTCCCCCAAACTCAGCTTCTGCCAAACTTGCTTTTTCTCTTCTCTCCTAACCCAGTAATGGACCCACCATCTGCTCAGAGACCCAAGCCAAACCCCTGACTCGGGTCTTGACTCCTTTCTCTCCCTCACCCTCTCTTTTCAATTATTTAATCCTGTAAATCCGATCTTCTAAATTTCTCTCCCCTCATCCATCCAGCGACGCAGCCACCCTATTCCAAGCCTCTCACTTGGTTTTCCGGTTTTCCCTCCTCCACCTTTGACTTGGTCCTAACCCCAGAGCAGAACAGCCAGAATGACGCCCCTGCCCCTTTTTTTCGTGGTTAGAGGGTAGAGCAAGGTCTTTCAATGTTGCCCAGGCTGGTCTCAAACTGCCAGGCTCAAGCGATCCTCCCACCTCAGCCTCCCCAAAGTGCTGGGATTGCAAACGTGAGCCATCACGCCTGGCAGAATGACACTTCTAAAACTCAAATTCCAAGGCCGAGCGCGGCGGCTTCCGCCTTGTAATCCCAGAACTTTCGGAGGCCGAGTTGGGCGGATCACCTGAAGTCAAGAGTTTGAGACCAGCCTGGCCAACATGACAAAACCCTGTCTCTACTAAAAACACAAAAATTAGCTGGGAGTGGTGGCGCGTGCTTGTAGTCCCAGCTGCTCAGGACGCTGAGGCACGAGAATCATTTGAACCAGGGAGGTGGAAGTTGCACTGAGGCGAGATCATGCCACTGCACTCCAGCCTGGGAGACAGAGTGAGAGTCCGTCTCAAAAAAAAAAACAAAAACAAACCAAAAAACCCCTCAAATTCCTGCCCTAACGTCTTTAGTGGTTTCCCACAAACCATTAAGCTTTGAACTGACCATTATATTGGCCTACTACTGACAATTAACCCAGTATGGCTGGTGGCTGGTAGGTTGAGAGAGACAGAGAACCCTGACACCAGATAATCCCTCCGTCCCTTCTGGTCCTAACATTGTGGAATTCTCGTGATCACCTGCTTCCTTATAAATTATTTTAACAGAACTCTTGTAACTATGATAAGTCAGATGGAGTCCTTCCCTGGCGACAGAGAAAAATGGAAGACTACTAGAAAAAGCCACTTGGAGCCCTGAGAATGTGGTCTTCCAGAAGGAGGACACACTGGCTTACCTGGGGAGCCTGGCCAGCCTTCTGGACCCAAGGACGTGATTGCAATAAAACGGCTCCTGTCAGACTTGCCCTTGTATATTTATAGTTCCACTCACCCTTAGCCCTTTCCAGAAGTTCAAAGTCACGATTTGCAATATCTGTCTTCCTGCATAATAAGAGGACTGTTTCAGACTCAAACTAAAAGTAAGTCTAAGGGTTTCTAATAAATGAGTGCAAGAGAATGCGAAAGCACACTTCCGCCCTCCCCCCCACCCCCCCGCAGACAGGTCATATAGGGTCACAACGGGTTACCCTTCTGGACAGAGGCAGCAGTGTTTAATTATTCAATCTGCAGGCGTTATGGGTGCCCACAAGGTGTCAGGCCCTGGACTGACTGCTGAGACACGCAGATGGCTGCCCCCACCACTTTCCTGAGAAAAATTACATCATTCCACCAAGTCTGAAACCACTGAGTTTTTCTAAGTTACCACACACACCCACTCCCAAAGTAAAAATGCACCCTGGAGGATTTTATGTGCACTGGAACTTTCATTTCAAGGCTATAACCAGTTCAGTCACCCTATATAGGATGGCCAGCCCAAGTCCCTCACTGGATCTCTCAAGCTTCCTTGTCCCAAGGTCTTATAAGCAAATACGAAGGAAAAGGATTACTTATCTCTCCTTCAAGAAAGGGAAAGCATAGCTCAATTGGCAGGTTTTTTTTTTTTTAATTTTGTTTTTGTTTTGAGACGGAGTCACACTCTGTTACCCAGGCTGGAGTGCAATGGTGTGGTCTTAGCTCACTGCAACCTCTGCCTCCCTGGTTCAAGTAATTCTTCCGCCTCAGCCTCCCAAGTAGCTGGGACTACAGGCATGTGCCTCCATACCTGGCTAATATTTGTATTTTTAGTAGAGAGGGGGTTTCACTACGTTGGCCAGGCTGGTCTCGAACTCCTGACCTCGTGATCCACCCGCCTTGGCCTCCCAAAGTGCTGGGATTACAGGCGTGAGCCACCATGCCCAGCCGTTCATTTGGCATTTTTAGAGAAAAGATGTAAAAATATTCAGCCTCACTCAAAACCAAAGAAATGGCCAGGCATGGTGGCTCATGCCTGTAATTCCAACAATTTGGGAGGCCGAGGCAGGTAGATCACTTGAGCTCAGGAGTTCGAGACCATCCTGGGCAACATGATGAAACCCCCCTCTCTACAAAAAATACAAAAATTAAGCTGGGCACGGTGGCTTACGCCTGTAATCCCAGCACTTTGGGAGGTCAAGGTGGGCAGATCACTTGAGGTTGGGAGTTCGAGACCAGCCTGGCCAACAGAGTGAAA